CTGGCCAATTCTTTGAGAAGTAGATGGCCCCTTCCTTCTTCTAAGTCTGTCTTAGTCTCGAAGCTCTGCTGAAACCTCTTCACCATGGGTGATCCTGCTGGTATTTGATATACCAGTGGCATAGCTTCCAACCTCACAGCAACACACAAGCCACTGCAGTACAATAAACTGACAGACAAGTGGTGGTATAATAGTAATAGTAAAAAATAATTTATGAGCAGATACATAGGCAGACATGCAAGCTAAACAGATGTGGGCAGGAGAACAGGACTGCACCTATGAGCATAAATATGCCTGGCAGAGGATATTTCTACATACATATTTGTATATGCTGTAAATATATCCATGTATATAGTAGAGCAAATGGAGGCAAAGTTATGAAAACTTCTTAGCCATAACCAAACACCTTGAGGGACTGAGTCACTGGGCTTAGGGGCTTAGGATCACAGTCTGGGGATAGCTAGGTCAACTAGCATAACATAGCTCACAAAAATGATGTTCTACATCCTACTGTGGTGAGTAGCAACTGGGGTCTTAAAAGCTACTGAGCAGCCATCTACGATGCAACTAATGGTCTCTCCCCATCTGGAGTAAAGAAGAGTGAAGAAAATCAAAGACTCACGGAAATAAATGGTCCAAAGGACTAATGGACAATACTAACCACAGCTTCCATAAGCCTGAGATCAGAAGAACTAGATGGTGCCTGGTTACCACTATCAACTGCTCTGATCAGGATCACAACAGAAGATCTGTGAACCTCTGAGACCATGGCCCTTAGACACCCTTCAAACCGGGAACTGAACCCACCTCTGGAGATCACTTTGCATCCAAACAACAGCCAGGCTTATATAGTGAACAGTAACAGTAGTGAGGAACATGCTCCTCCTAACCATTAACCACACACAATCAACCATACGAGACCAAAAGGGCAGCATTTGTTCAAAAAACAAAGTTCAAAAGGCAGGAAGGGGCAGGACAAAAGGATGAACAGAAATGGGAAGAGTGCTGTTACATTGAGAGGATTGTAACTAATGTGAATAAACAAAACACGTATAAATTGTTGTATGGGAAACTAATTTGCCCTGTGACCTTTCACCCAAATCTCAGTAAAATGTTCAAAAAAAAGAAATATACTGCAAGCCAAAAATGCAAGCCACATATATAATTTAAATTTTCTAGTAGCCATATTAAAAAAAAATAAAAACAGAGTAAATAAATTTTAATTAGGTTATTTAATCCAGTATATCCAAAATATTTTAAGATGTAAAAGGAGCTCTGGTAGCATAGTACCTAAGGTGCTTGACTGCTAACCAGAAGGCTGGTGGTTCAAACCCACCAGCCACTCCTCGGAAGGTAGGTTGGGCAATCCTACTTCCGTAGTGATACTGCCTCGGAAACCCAAGGAGGGGTCGCTATGAGTCAGGGCCGACTCGACGGCAAATAACAACAACAATCAATATAAAACATTATCAATGGGATATTTTACATTCCTTTTTCTGAACTAAGTCTTCCATCTTGTTTTTATATTATAGTTTAGCACATCTCAATCCAGACTAGTCATATTTTTAAAAATATAATAGTTATATTGAGATATAATTCATATACCATACAATTCACATATTTAAACTGTATAATTCAATGGTTTTAGTATATACACAGTTGTGCAACCATTACCACTAATACCGTAACATTTTCATCACATCAAAAAAGAAATCCAACACCAATAAGCAGTCACTCTCCATTTTTCAATTTCCCTAAACCTAAGCAATCACTAACAGAAAACATGGATAAAACTAAAAAACACTGCGTAGATCAAAAGAAGCAAGATACACACACACACACACACACAAAAAAAACCATGTAATGTTTATATCCTATTACATGGAATTTCAGAATAGATTAAACTAATCCATGTGATATACATCAGAAGTAGTAGGGGGTGTTTGCTGACTGAAAAAAAGCCCAAGCAAACATTTGAAGGTGATGAAAATATTCTATATTTTGATCTGAGTGATGACTACATGGATGTTTATAAATGTTAACACATAATGCACACACTTAAGATTAGTTCATTTTAACTATATATAAATTTTACCTCAATAAAATTACTGTTACCATGAAAAAATCTAATGAATACTGATTGGAGTCTAGTAAAAATTTGAATACTTTAATTTTGAAAAAAAAAAAAAAAAAATCCTTTCTATAGGGAAATATAACAAGTGGAAGTTTTCCAAAATCAAAATTTTAACATATCACTTAGTAACTACATTTTAAAATTATAACTGAATATCATAATAAACTATTTTTTATATAATTGTGATATATAACTTATCATCAAAATTCAGAACTTACTAGGGAAGGAGTATTAAATTTGATTTCTTCAAAGCAGCCATCAAACATTAAACTAAATGTTGGATCTATAGAAAAAAAAAATTTTTACATTTAAAACCACTAAAATCACTTTTCCCAGTTATACTTATTCCATGATAATATTCTGTATTTCATCATTAATGAAAACTCAATACCATACAAATCATAAATTCTTAAGAAACTTTCTCTCTTAACCTAAATTAACTATGATCTTTTAATTAAGCTATCACCTAACTTGTGATTAATAAGATTTTTGTCATTATTTTAAAGTACAATCACTAACTGTGAAATGAGCTATTAATTTGTAAGTAGTGTCTACTACAAACACATTTTTCTGTAGAAAACCATAGCAGAGATATCTTAAAGAGTATGTATAATGAAATATATTTAGTAAACAATATTACAATATAAGATCTGTAATGAAAATATTAAATTGTATGAGTTTTTTAATTAAACATTGAATGCTAATTCTTGGAAAAGTGGACTAAATATGATTTACTTTAACTAATTAATATATGCAATAATCCATATGGAAGTGCTAGCGGGGTGAAGGAAAACTAAGAAGGAAGTTCAGTATTAAGGAACTACAGAAAGATTGTGTTTCATAGAAAATTTTGACCAAAGCTGCAAATGGTGAAGGAGGTTTAGTGGTTTAATTATTGATATGAGGAAAAAGCAAGGAGAAGGATCTGATATTTTCCCTATAAAATCTCGTTATCAACTAGTTCAGAAATCTCTGCATTCTATGCTATTCTCAGCTTCTGCAATCTCTAATGCCCACACAGTGAGCCACAGTGGGTACTCATTTTTAAAAAGTCATTAATACTAGCAAGACAATATATTAATTTTATAAGTACTCAAAGGTTCAAATCAATTACAATTTGAATTCTTAGTTTAAAAAACAATCTAGGAGTTTTGATTTTAGCTTAATTTACTGACTTCTAAAGCAGTATTTCTAACTAAAATTAAAAGCTTTTCCAAATATTTTAATCAAAAGTAATTCAAATTATTGTGACCTACCACTTGTAGTAAGGATTACAGGTCTTTTCGTTGTTGCCATGAAAGTTTTGATTGCATTCAAAAACCCAGCATCTTCATCAAAAATGACATCAACCTACAAACCATTTATAAGAATATTAATGTTACTTGTTACTGTGTAACAAAAGACTTACTGGATATCAGTTATGTATAGACAGTAGACATTATAATCTGTTAGATAAAATTTACCAACAGTGTGAATTCAGCCCATGCTGAAAGTTTACAATGTCTTACACTAAACAAACAAACAAAAAAGTTAATAAATTATAAAATTATTAAAAATAAAGAAATGTAACCACCAGCTGCTAACTGAAAGGTCAGCAGAGTTTGAACCCAAGAGCTGAAAGATGCAGAAGTCTTGTGTTAAGATTACAGCCCTGGAAAACCTATGGGCAGTTTTACCGTCCTATAGAATTACTGTGAGTTGGAATTCGACTAGTCAGCAATGGGTTTAACTGGACAGGTGTGGGTCAGAATAATTTTCAAAATCACTAAACAATAATTAGTAACCTCAAATTGCATTTATCTTCTTCCTGAAAAAATTATTCTAGGGTTGTAAGTTTCAATTAACTGCTTTAATTTCAAATAGAAATAATCCTGACTTTCTTAACAATTTTACAATCCTTTACATTACTTATAAACTTTAAAATAAGCTTTTATCAAGAAATATCTATAAACCTACCTCTTCAAAAAGAATAAGAGATGTTGCATTTTTCCTGTTGGGTTCCTCTCCTCCAAATTCTTTGTTTGAATTAGTTGTGTTTGTGGATTTAGTCTGAATAATTTGTTTCTGTTCAAAAGAATTTTTGACTCCTACACAATCAGAATATTGATATTTTAGGTAAAATGTTAATATTTTAGGTAAATATTACTAATTTCTGTCCAAAAAAGTTTTTGATTCCAGCATAAACAGAATTATTTATATTTTAGGTTAACAGAACACTGGATATTTACACAGAATAAGCTCAAATTGAAATCACTTATCAAAACTGAAACAAAATATATATACTTATATATATATACATATATATATACACACACATACATATGACCCATTAGTGTAGCTAAGGTTTATAAACAGCAATAGGAACTCAAAATATATTTATATTTTCACATATCAGGGTCACCAATATGAAAATATGTCAAATTCATTCTGTCAATATAATGTCTTACCTTTATTATTTTCCTGAAGTGCTCTTATTTCTTGATTGTTTTTTGGTTTAGAAGATACTTTAAAATAATTTGCCAAAGTTTTAGGAGGCAGTGCTCGCTTTGGCCCACTACTTTTTGGTGAAGGTGGAGGAACTTTTCTTGGTGATGTAACAACTTTCTTAGGGGAGCTTAATTTTTCTGCCAAAAACAAATTACATTTATTTATTTATTTTAAAGCTAAAATAGTGTATTAGGAATAAAATAAAATAGACTTAATAAGAAAAAACTAACTTAAATCAGCCATCAATGTCATATTTAAGTGAAACACTAGCAATTTCTCTGAAAATTAGAAATTATATAACACATTACATTTAAAGATAAATATTCTAAAAATTAGATAGATATCAAGAAAGAATTATCCACATTCTACATTTCTACTTCTGCTAGTCAAAAATCAAAGACAGAAATCTTCTGTCATTCTTACACTCAAATACTCTTAATATATTACTAGGTTACTGTGCTTATTCTACTAGTACAGAAGGCAAAACCATTCATTTTGAAAAGACACTCTTTTCCGAAGCAACAGCCCATTCTTGAAGCAAAATAATGTTGACAATCCTCCCACTGACTTTCTCTGCCTGAAGTCAAAGAGGATGAATGAAATCAGTAACAGAGCAGATTGAGACTGAGCCCACTACAAAACATTGTTTAACTTGGCCATACAGTAAATTGACATTGTCCGTAAGTGTTTTTCTAGAGATATTATGGAGGATGGATACTCAGCTAAAAATAAATGGCTGATCACTACCCTCCAGAATCCCCATGGCCTTTATTCCAGAGCCTATGCCCTTTTCTCCGCCTCTCAGAACCTCGATTCAGTCCTTAAGTCTTAATTATTATCATATTACCTCAGAAAAGGATCTTCCTCACATAACATACTATGTATACAATTCCATAACAGTGTCCTATTCCTTTTTATGTATCTCCCATTCCCAAAGATTCTATCATACCTCTTAGATATTGTAGGTGCTCAATAGATTTACTCAAAAACTTTCATCCCTGTGCTTCTGTTCCTAGTGATCTTGCCTGTAATTCCTTACTTCCCAAAATGCAAAACATTTGTTTTCTAATATGTATTTTTACCAAAGTAACATACTTATTATCATTTTAAAATAAGTTACATGGAATGAAAAACTGTAATCCCCTTACCTATTATTCATCTCTATACTCCACTTCCCAGAGACAGCCACTATCAACTCAAAACATTCTTGAATGCTCAAAGCTAGTCCTAATCCCATACTGCCTTCTTCAATAATTTTAAACCTTGTCTGAATTCTGTTTAACTTGTACTAAAGACCATATAAATCGGTGTTCATTTTTCCTATTTGTTTCAGATGTATTTATTTTATTACCTTAACTGTCAATTTATTGAACGTAGAGGACAAACCGTATTTAACATGTACATTAGTGTGACACTGTGCAAACTACAAAATGGTTTTATTTTTCTTATGGCTCTTAGACTTGACAGAACATTAAAATCTCTAAAAATAAATATGGGAAATGATATGCAGTTGCCTACCTTATTTTGGCAAAAGAATACTTCTTTTTTCTTTTGTTCCCTGTGACCATAGTTCCAAGCCTACAAGCCCAGCAACTCACTTCCTCAAGATGCCTAGTGATGCCTAAGAAGTTATACTTTGTCCCTGTTAGCTCTATACTGCCCATGGACATTTTGATAGCACATACAATATGCATGTAGGAATATCATCTGCCCAACCTATGTGCGGTCGTGGGTATATTCCCATTCACCTACCCATACCTGATCTTCTTGCCTGTCTATGTATGTAAGAATACTTTTTGAAAAAGGTAAAATGGTTATCACCATCATTTCATAAACATAGAACAATTCAATACCACAAGGTAAAAGGGGCATAATCTTTTTTTTTTAAATTGTGATTTGGGTGAAAATTTACAGAGCAAATTCACTTTCCATACAGCAGTTCACAAACACTTCACAAACACTTTGTCTCATGACACTGACCACAATTTACCACAATGCAACAGCTCCCCTCCTACTTCCTCCCAATAGTTACCTCTTCCCTGTGTCCATCCCTCCATGCACTCCTGCACCCTGAGCTGTCTTCCTGTGCGTACATAGCCCTTCTTTCTCCCAAGATTGTTCTCTCCAAAGAGTGTATCTACCTCAGATAAATGTTCAACTCATATGCCTGTCTTTTGTTTGGATGGAAGCTACAGGTGTGGGTTCAATTCCAGACCTGAAGGGCAGCTAGGGGCCATAGTCTCAGTAGTTCCACTAAGGCTCTATCAGGCCAGCGACCCTGGTCCCCTCCCTTTTTTTCCTCCAAGTGATTTTGAGTTTTGTTCCACATTGTTCTCCCTCTCTATCCAGGATCTCCTACAGAGATTCCCCTCCAAATGGTTGACAGTGGTAGCCAGGCACCATCTAGTTCTTCTGGTCTCACAGTTGTATAAGCTGCGGATCGCATGGTGTACCAGTCGCCAGGACTAATTATTTCCATGAATCTTTGGTTTTCTTCATTCTTCTTTGCTCTGGATGAGGAGAGACCGATCATTGTATCTAGGTGGCTGCCTGCAAGCTTTTAAGATCCCAGTTGCTACTTGCCAAAGTAGGAGATGGAACAATGTTTTGTGTAGTATGTTATGCCAATTGAGCTTGATGTTCCCTGCTACTATGGTCCCAAGCCCACAGGTTCAACTACTCACTCCCTCTGGGTAGCTGGCTATGACCAAGAAGTGACTACAACCTTGTCCTTTGTCAGCTCTACTATACACCTGGGAATTCTTACAGATCATACAAATACACTTATAGGACGATTGTCTGCCAATCCATACATGGTCTTG